GTCTTAGAAGGCATCCACTTTATGTCCAAACTCAGGAATAATCAAATCCCAGACTGACGGAATCCACATCAGCAGGCATAGAAATGTACATTTTAGCTGCGAGAAACAAATTTACAACTACTGCTACTGGGAAGGACTTCTGTTGGGCCCAATTTGTTAAATGCAGGCAACATTCTGAAATACAGCAATGCATGATAATCAAAGTGTATTGCTGAGCACCTTTCTCCAAGACAATTTAGCTTTTTAACAGCAAGATTAAAAGAAATGCAAAACCTGTTCATTTATGTCCTCTCGCACCTCACTACCCATGGCACCAAATACTTATTTTGATGAAGCAGCAAGTCAATTGTGTTTTCTGCCAATTTAGCACACGGTAGACATGGTAAACAATGCAATATCTGCTACACTGGGGACAGTGAACACAGACCCAATGACCACTTTGCAGAACATTTCACAGCAGGCACATCACCAAGCTTTCAGTGGTTGCCATTTTAATCCACTGCCTTGCTCACATTTGTCCTTTGCTGGCTGGTGTACTGGTGGGGTTTAATGTAAGCGTGTTTTCCAAAACAGGTACTTATAACCTCAAAATCAAAATCTACGTCAACAGAATTAACCCTGTCCCCAGTTTTGCTTCTCTTTGTTCGAGTCTTGTTTTTCATTTTTTAAACTTGACATTTGTACTCTGTTTCTTGAATACAATCACTATCACTCATTTTGCTTTTTGCTCCATAACATCATTACCATTTAATCTCTCCAAGCCTGTATTCCAACCCAAAAACTTCGCTATGCTCATACGCTAAAAACCTAATATTTTCTCTCTCCAAAAGCACCTTCCTGAGTCAAACTTCCTGAGCACTTTCAGCACTATTTTTAAATACATCTCACTCTCTCCTTCTCCCATAACTTATTACTTTCCTTAACCTCTTGTTGAACCAGAAACCCTTCAGATGCAAGGGATGAGATATTATGAACAGAAAAAAATCCTTAGTTTCAAATTTGTAGTCTTGACTCAGGTATTAGCTACTTGCACTGTGTCAGAAGATCACAGATGGAAGCCTTGTTAGCAGAACAACAGTAACATTTTAGCATAGGACTAAAGTTTATTCACATGTACCTTGTATGTTCTTGCAGCCTGTTTAAAAACAATAATTGGGGACATTTAAGCGACTCTTGGATGGACACATGGATGATAGTAAAATGTAGAGTGTGCAGGGTAGTTTGATCTTAGATTAGGATAATAGGTCAGCACAACATTGTGGGCCAAAGGGCCTGTACTGTGCTGTACTGTTCTACGTTCGAATTGTATACCTGCCCGCATTCTTTCTTAGAAAAGACAATGCAGTGCAGGATGGCATTTACATCAGCCCATTTTGTCAATCGACGCAGATTCACCTGAAATCTACTATGATTCTCCTTAATCACATTACCATCATTTTGTGACATCTGCAAACTTTAACATTATACTTTCCACACAAATCCAAATCGAACAGTCATGCTCTGACTGAAGCCCCTAGGACATCAGTGCATGCAGCCGTCCACTATTGTCTGCTTGCCTCTTGGTTAGCATTGTTGCCAGTGTCTTCTAAGCTGGCAAGCTTTAACTATTCTGCATCTGTGGGGCACTTGATCACTCCCCGCTCCCCCCCACCCCACTCCAAGGGGGAGGTAGTAATCCAAACAATTATTTGGGACAATAGCAAATAAAAAATGAAAAAAACTTTGAAGTAAGAAGAATGACCTTTATGTTTTATCCAATGGCCCATATTGTTAGAAACTAATCAACGTGGGGACAAATTCTTAACCGCCATTCCAAGTTTTCTAATGTATATCCTCAGGTAAATAATCACTCCAATGTTACTTGCCATTCATTAACCTGAAAAAAAGTTGTTATCCAAAAACTGCTTAAAAACATGCAAGTCTTCCTTGCCTCGAACAGAAGTCCTGGCATAAAATCTCTACAGCGTTTTAAGATGACACTCCTGGTCAGGGGATGCAAGTTTGTTTAGGCAGCACGGTGGCTCAGTGGTTAGCCCTGCTGCCTCTCAGCACCAGGGACCTGGGTTTCATTCCACCCTCGGGCGACTGTGCAAACTCCACATAGACATTCTCCCCGTGTCGGCGTGGGTTTCCTCTGGGTGCTCCGGTTTCCTCCCACAGTCCAAAAAAGGTGCAGGCTAGGTGGATCGGCCATGCGAAATTGCCCATAGTGTTCAGCGATGTGTAGCTTAGGTGGGATGGGTCTGCGGGTCGCTATGGACTTGTTGGGCCAGAAGGGCCTGTTTCCACACTGTGGGGATTCTGTTCTATTCCTCAGAAGGTAAAGCACATATTGTGCTCTCTTGACAACAAAAATCTTCAGACACATGCATGGGATGATATTAAGACGGAGCACAACTGGAAGTTAACAAAGCAAACCTTAGATCTCCAAATACACTTCCTTTTCTGTATATAGAACTGTTAGAACCCAATCATTACACATTTGCACCTATGTATATCTATGAAACAGAAATAGTTTAGTTAACCTGCGCACTTAAAGTACAAGTCACAGGTCTACAGGCTTACTTGGCAAAAATTAATAACGATGTTCATTTTGCTCTGAATCACCTTTCTCAAGAAAGGCAAGTGTACACTACTCATTTTTCCTAGCTTTCCTTTCAACTGGGAAATAATTCAAGGACACCATGAAACTTCACCTTCTGAATAGATGCGACCATTCCTGAAATTATACAGTATGTTAAATAGTTTTCTGCACCAAGTGTAGACATTTGAAAATCAGGTATGTGAAAGCAGTTTCAATTACAGTTGCATTACCAGCTTTAGTCATATCCCTGAACCAAGCTCTGCATATTTCAGCCTGAAAAATACAGAAGCACATAAAAGATGACCCATTTAAAAACTACCTACCCTTCAACTGCTTATTTCTTTGCACTCCAGTGCCCAATAGTTGGAGAACACGTGCATTGGGTGTACAGGAGCATGATTAAAGAAAAGAAACCAAGTGAAAACAAGCACATGTCCTAACGAGTGACCACACAAAACAACTCTCTGATTAGGCTATGGGATTTCACCACTTGTGGTTCAAACAAATACTTTTCTACCAAAAAAAATTGGAAGAGCAGTCATCTCCAAAAGTTACCACTCTAAAATTTTCTAAATGGGTTTTGCAGAGGACTGGAAGGAAGCTGCCAGAGTGGCAAGCTAATTGATTCAACAGACCAAGTGTCAAGATGAAATCCCATCGCTAGATGATGCTACACAGAACTCTTCACACTTCAATTTGCCTGCAAGGCTGCTGGCCATAAAGGAATGTGGAAGAGTTAAGACCAGATCCACGTTAGGAAGCTATTTCTTATTGGTTCAGTCAGACCACATAAGAACACCACAATATTTTAAGAGCATTTCATTAAGCTTTCCTCTGTTTGCATTGCAATTTAGGACAGTTAATCCAAAATCATAGTGTAGTTTAGAATTTAAACTGTTAAAAATTATGATGCAATGCAAAAGCCTCCAGTTATGATGCCTTCTAAAGATCCAAATGCACTCATTTTCCAACTCTCAACTTCACACAAAGAAAATTTAAAAGTTGCCCAAAACAAATAAATCCCAGCCTAAAACTCACTTATTAACTAGGACCTTTGAGCCTATTCTCCAGAGTCCCAAGACAATACAACCAAGTTCTCGAAAATTTTTAGAAATTAAACAAAATAAAAAAAGGCAGCTCATAATAGATGGAGAACTGCAAGAAAAGTGTGAAAACTTGAATAATCTTTTCCAGGTCAGAAAACTGACAGTACTGTACATGGTAAAACATAACACTACATTTTGTACATACAAGGTGCCCATTTAAAAGAAACTTCAATTTCCAAAAGGTTTATTGCAAAGACCAGTTAATTTTGAATATTTCCATCTTCATAGCAAAGGTCACCACATACTTGTTTCCAGATGGTGCACCCTCCCATCACTAGATAACGCTCCCAGAATGCAAGACAGTGATAACAATTTTGTTGCTCACATGGTTACCTGGGAAACCAATACAGCTTCGGTTTGAGGCTGCGTAGGAGGGACTGGGTAAAAAGGCACCCATCAAGCTCATATATTGTTCTAACAAAAGTCTTCAATAAATTATGTAAGGCTATTAAGTAGCAGTCATACTAACATACACTGGTGTACCATGGTAAACACTGGACTGTTTTCACGAGTCAAGTCAGCTCGGGAAAGAGAAAAATTCTTAATATATGAATAAGTCATTGTCAAGTAATGTCAAAAGAGAAAAAGAATTAAGAGATTTGACTCTAAATTACATGTTTTCCATGAGCTTGCTCAGAGAAATTCAGGCTTCATGTCCACAAAATCAAGCATTAATAAACATTAAGGCAAGAAAGAAACAGCCAACAGGACAAAAATCAGTCAAGTACAACTTAAAAATCACTGCAGATCAAGGACTTTTCAATCATTAAACAGTGATAAATTTCACCTGATCAATAACTGAATTACCAGTCATCCAAAACTGCTGAAAACTTTAAACCAATACCTTATAAACCAGCACACTAGATAAACTAAACTGTATACCTCAAATACTGCGAAGTTTACTGCATTATTCTGTCCAATTACAGTTTAATTTATCTAAATGTAAATATGTTTGTTCAATCAAACAGCCAAAATATTAACAGTCCATTTAATTTCAGTCAATTTCTCCTCAAATACCGCAATCTACCACGAAGTCCAAATAGTCAGTTGAGGGTGCAAATGAGAAACTTTTGACATTAAGTTTCATTTAAGGCAAAGTTGCATTAAACTGGGAAAACAATTGGACAGTCGAGTGTGAAATCAGTTATTGTAGCTTGTGCCGTGAGATTCATCATGACTTGCAATTTTGTAACATTCCAGGGTGTTGACTGTCTTTTAGAAAACATTGCTATACCGAGACAGCTAGCTAGCACTTGTTACACCAGTACAACCATAAACAAGAGCGAGGACGGAATAACTAAAGCACTGACCTGAGGTGATGGCATAGTGGCATTATTGCTAGACTGGTAAACCATAATAAAGTCAGGTAATGTTCCAGAGATCTGGGTTCAAACCCAACTACTACAGCAGATGGAGGACTTTGAATTCTGCAACAAATCTGGAATTAATAAGCCAAATGATGAAGAAAACGGTGCTGATTGTCAAAAAAACCCATCTAGTTCACTGGTGTCCTGGAAGGAAGGAAACTGCCATCTTTACATGGTCTGATCTACATGTGACTCTAGACCCACACAATGTAGTTGACTCTTAACAGCCCTCTGGGTAATTAGACATGTGCAATAAATGCTAACCTAACCAGTTATGTACACATGCCATCTATGAATAACTCACTCACTGATCAGTCATTCTTTGGCCTATGTAGGCCAAGCTCCTGCAATCCAGAAAGGGTACTGTACTATTCCTGGCATATTCACCACTGGGAAAGGCCTTATTTGAAACTAACATTACAGGTTACTTTTGTTCTAAAAGCAGGGTTTTTTATTCTTGAATCTACTGCATGCACAGCTAAACTGAATACAATGATTCTACAATAAAACAATCTAACAAGACTTTCTCTTCCCAAGCATTGCTGCAATCTGATATATCTGCTTTCATACAATTCAGATCAGCACTTCAGTTATTCCATCCCCACTCATATTTATGATTGTACTGGCAATATCAAGCCCAAACTAACTAGTTATCTCACAGCACAGCAACATTTTCTAGAAGACAGTCAACGCCTTGGGGTACAATCAAAATTGCAAGTCACGATGAATCTCATGATACAAGTTCCAACATTCAATTGCACACACTTTCCATACCAAAGACATGTAAGCCCCACACAATCTCACCTATATCTGAAAGCTACAATATACAAGCCATTTTACCTCAATTAAAATTTTCTACAGGTAACATGCAAGGCCAAGTACAACAGTAACACACACCTTTTACCAAACAACCATTTTGACCTTTTCTTCCTCTATTTAACATACAGCATCATGTGTCAGTAGTGCCAGGGTCCTAAGGTATTTTTGCTCAAGCATAAAGACTAAGTATATTAGTTATTAACACACTAGGTATCAAGATACTGCATTCCTTTACTCCTGTTCAAGCATAGTCACTGCCATAACACAGGAAACAGCCAACTTGAGTCCAGCAAAATTCCACAAGTAGCAATGTGATACAGATCAGATAGCCTGTTTTGATGTTGTCAGTTGAAGCACAAGTATGAGCAATACACTGAATTACAGAATAGCTAACATGCAGAAGGTTCATACACAAGTGTAAATTTTTAATTTGTACTGCATTATTCAATCCAAAATAAATCTCAGTCATGTCAACCTGCCCTATTGCCATTCTTTACAAATTGGGTGTCTACCAGATTCAGCTGTCATGAGGAAATCCACAAGATCATTAAGATTCTGGCTCCCAGATCTCAGGCACACTTTATCGAGTTGCAATCCTACTGTAAAGTAGAACTTAATTGGAATTACTTCTGTTTACTTACACAAGCACGCACTAACTGCCTGTAACTAGAGGAACAGCATATACACAGGCAACCACTACGTAACAGCCAGGTGAGGATCGGTCAAGACATTGACAAATTAATGCACAACACCAGTTAAAAGGTGAATAATACCTCACCAAGCTAAAAGTTCTCACGTGACTGACCATAACCAAGCCAGCTACCAATGTGTGCATCCAATCGCTAACCATAAATTGGAGAGCAAGACCGTTCATTGGGTAAAGAACTTCGTCCAGCATGGTGCTATGTTCCCACGATGCTTATTTTCCATGCCACACAAATCAGGATATTCACTTTTTTTCACCCAACATGCTCCCCCTGACAGAAAAAAAGCAGAGAAATGCCAAATCAGAGGCAGCACAACCAATTCCAATCAAGCTAATTTCTCACATTTAAGTTACATTTGTATTTTTCCGTAACTTTTTGCTTGGCTTATACAGGACTGCCTATGTGTTTCTACGTCAGGTACTCCCACAATTTTTCTTATCTATATTTATGCTCAGCCTTGGCATGTTTGCATAGCCACTTAAAACAACTGCTTAGTACAGGAGATTTACAAAGCCACACGCAGGCAAAACTCAAGTACTAGTTAACTGCCCTATGCCCTCCCTGCATCTCACTTTTTTGGGGCATGGGAGGGAAGGGTTGAAATTCAGCAACTCCTGAATTATTACAGCCTTCAAACTCTAACAAGACCTTAATGCTTCAACATCCATAACAGAAAAGCCAGCATAACCTATGTCTAAATGGGGAGGTGATGTCCTAGTGGTATTATCGCTGGACTGTTAATTCAAAGACCCAGATAACGTTCTGAGGACCCATGACCAAATTCTGCCACGGCGGAGAGTGGAATCTGAATTCAACAAGATATCTAGAATTAAGAATCTAATGATGACCGTGAATCCATTGCCGATTGACAGAAAAACCCATCTGGTTCACTGGTGTCCTTTAGGGAAGGAAACTGCCATCTTTACATGGTCAGGCCTACGTCGGACTCCAGACCCACAGCAATATGGTTGACTCTGAACTGCCCTCTGGGCAATTAGGGATGGACAATAAATGCTGCTTAGTCAGCAATGCCCTCATCCCGTGAATGAATAGAGTAAAAAATAACTTTATAAACAAACATCGCTACACATAACAATTGTGTCTTTGAAGTATTAAAAAGGCACTGCCTAGACAGAATGTACTAGGCATCTCTCCTTGCATCAGTTAATAAACAAAGCAAAGCCATTAAATGTTCACACAAACCTTCAATACAGCATTCATGTACCATCAACATTCCTTGTACAAATGCTAAGGATCTAATCTCAGTGTTAGTTAAGTAAGTGTCATGCATAGTAACAGAACTGCTTTACAAAGGTTAGCCACATTAACAAAATGATTGACAATGTCTCCTCTTACCAGAGTAGACTTTGGATGGTATCCTGATTGCAGATATCCCACCTTATCAAATTACAATTGCACTTGAATTAAACAGAGTAGAATGGCAACATTAAATCCACATCAGCTCCTTCGCAAACACTTTCAAATACAAATTTCATTAGGGCAAGTAGTTACAGTCAGGAAGATCCTATTTAAAAAGTATACCTCAAACACGGAGCTAAAGCAATAAGATACAGACCAACCCAAAAAGAGTCCTCAAAATATCGTTCAAGATAGATGGATTTTAAGCTACCATGGTGTGAACAGAAAGACCACAAAATGAAGACTACTGTTTCTATGTGGAGTTTTAAGAGTTTCAGCTTTTCTAAGATGCAGATTTATGAGGGCCATCGATTAGGGACTTGCAAAAGAAACTCTCCAAACTTCTTTATCTGCACATCAATTAAAGTACTGTACATCTGTTCCCTTGCTTATAACATTTGAAGTTTGCTGGGATTCTTTTCTGTGGTATCTTTCAACTCTCCATGTTCTACAGACAGCATTAAAAGAAAGCTCAATTCCATGATTCACCGCCACTAAGAACTGTAGCAATTCTCAAACAAGCCTCCTCAACTGTCCAAAAAACAAGTTTGCTTTCCTCACACTCAGTACTTAGGGAAAAGTGTTAATTTACTTTAAGCTCTGGTCTTTCTATCAATATTTACCAAAAACAAAAAAAAAAAATTATTGAAATATAGTTGTTTCTGTTCCCTCAAGTTTATTCAGAAGTTCTCCACAAAAAGAGAGACAGCAAAACATAGACTGATGTGTAGTTATGGCTAACCCGTTTCCTCCCCCTCCACTTCAAACTGTACTTCTACTACTTCAATCTATCCAAGCTTAAAATAAAAACAGAACAGAATGCACCCGTTGTTCTCGCTCAACTGCAATAAAGAAACAACAGCTTCAGAGAAGACAAAATGAAATCCTGATCAACACGGAACATATTCTTCTAAGTTCCATTTGGAGGGAAATCAACAAGTTCAAGCCACCTCATCCTACATGGCTGCAGTCAGTGATCTTCAACCCACTCAGCTCTGCAGCTTTAAAAGCAAATCCATCAAGAAGTTACACTCCAGAACCTGATCTTCAAGCAAGTAAGACATACATCGAGACAGGTATCGATACCTTCCTTGAGCTTGGCGTGTTAAAACGAGGAAATAATTGTCGGGAATTGCTCTCACCCGAGGGCTAAAACTGGAAATGCGGTGCTTCGCAGTTTTCTGCTGATAAAGTTGATGATCTCTCTCCTGGCTATGCAATAAATAGACAGACAAGCGGATAGACAGACAGACAGATAAGGAAGGGTGAAAGTCGTTCCATACGGTGCACAACTCTGGGCTTTCTTGACAAATAAAAAAGAAAAGAAATGAATGCAAAGGATTTGTAAGTGATATCTTCGGCTCCCCCACCCCCACCCCACTTGGTCAGGCTGCACAGTGTGAGGAGGAGGAGGAGGAGGAGGAAAGCGGGAGCCTGATACCTTGACGCAGTCGATCGGGTACATCACGCAGTGCTCCAGGACACCGGCCACCGCTCCGGCGATCATGTGGGTGGAGGTGGAAGCGGTCTCGGGAAGGCTCTCGTACTCTACCTCGCTGCTGCTGCTGCTGTTATTATTCTTCTCATCCGAGAAATTGTCCATAATATTTAAAAGACGGCTGGGTGGGGGCGGCGGCTTCACCAAGATGTGGAAGAGAGCTGGTGGGGAGGCGAGGGCTGGCGAGCCGGCCGCGATGCTGCTCGGAGTGTTGGCCTTGCCGTTACCGTTGGCGATCGCTTCGGGCCGCTCCGGTACTTCGATCCTCACTCCATCATTTTCAAATTCCATCGGGAAATAAAAAAAATAACACGTTTTGTTTTCTTTCCCCCTTATTTTTTTTACCCCTCCTCAATCTTCGAATTTTTTTTCCTCCCTCTTCCTCACCTTCCACACTTTGACTCACTCACTCGACGCTCCAGCCTTTTATAAGTAGCCGCCACCATCCTCCTGCCTCACGATCACCATCCTCGCCTCAGCCGGACTTGCAGCGGGACGGAGGCAAAATGGGGGCCGAGGCCCTGTGACGTACCTCCGATTTCCCAACCCCACCCCACCGCGACGCCGACCCGCCCCCATCACGCATTCCCTCAACACCGATTGGTCTGAACCGATGAGGGACGTCTAAATCACCATTTCCATTGGCTACCACAGCCGTCCATTATCTCCCTTAGCCCCACCCCGCACCTCCTGGGCCGAGTGGGAGGTTTTCGCTCTCCAACCCGCGTGCGCTCTCTATCAAACTTGATGGCTTTCCCAGCCCCCACCGCGACTTCTCCCCCAAGGATTGGACGGTTGTACTGCCTTCCGGTTGCCCTTCTAGTTTGGACTGGGTTATCCCCCTGTCACTCAAGTCAGCGGGTTAGGTTGCGAAGGCGGCGTGGGTTCACGAGGCAGATATTCCAATCAGTGGCGGGAAAGCCCGTCACATGACTTCTTGCAGCCTGCTCATGTTGCAATCAGTCTGCTAGCCACTTTCCAGCAAGGACAGCGGGGAAAGGTCATTCATTGCATTTTATTTTGAAAGCGTGATGGTAATCTTGGCATTTTTCATCATCATCAATGCAAAAATACCAGAAATATGCAATATTTTGCAATGACGCATCTAGTTTTGAAATCGCCTAAACGGATTTCCTTTCCAACTTTCCAATTCAACATAATTTT